GAGAAAAATATTGCTATATAATTATTTTTTAACCGAACGCCTCTCAAACCACGATTTCAATGAATCTTTCGAAGAATCGATTTATCATCTATACTATTAAATGAGAAGACCTAATTTTGTGTGTCGCTTCTCTTCCGTTCACAATAAATTAATCATCATGTCTCTGTGTCCTATAGGTACCATGCATAGTCGCATTTGTCATCCTCGCTTATGATTATTCTGTTTGGGTTATTTTGAGAGGAAAACGAAAATAAAGGCGTCCTGATATTGTTTCCGTCATCGGACGGACTTTTAATTCATAGACAAAACTTCCGTTTAGGACTGTTTAAAATTACACAGAATTTTGGCAAATTACAAACTACCCTTAATTCCAAACTTGATTACATACAATATTTTGGGTACCTGAGCTACAGGAACCGGTATCAAACATTCCTTCGGTCCCTCGAAGCGATAAAAATACAATTTCTTGGGACCCCTGGAACCGGTACATGCTCATGTTTTATTTAAGAAATAATTCATGCAAGCCATAGATTTTGAAAATGTTCACATGGCCTGAGTCGTTATATTGGAATTCTAATGTTTTGGGTACCTGAGCTACAGGAACCGGTATCAAACATTCCTTCGGTCCCTGGAAGCGATAAAAAATCGATTTCCTGGCACCCCTGGAACCGGTATATAATCATGTTTAATTAAGAAATATTTCAAAAAAGCCATATATTTGTTGAAAATTTACACATGGCCTTGGTCGTTATATTGGAATGTTAATTGACGAATATAACGACCCAGGCCATGTGAAAATGAAAACAAAGCTATGAAATGCATGAATTATTTTGATTCTAATATGGTAAAGTTTCCCACTGAAAACTCTGACACCATTTCAGTAAAATATGGCGTTTTTGTGCACAAATCGCTTTGTGACGTCGTCGATTTATAGTGGTTGTGGTTTATTGAGTATTTCATTACGGCTCTATTCATATGACGTAATAAGCACCCAAAATCAGAATTAATTTGCTTTCTTAAAAGTCAACACCTTATTAAGTGTAACGCCATTTCCAAATTTCAGTAAAATATGACGGTTTTGTGCACAAAGCGCATTGTATATTGAGTATTTTATTATGGCTCTATTCATAATTCCAATCTTATTTGCAAATATCACATAATAATCTGATTTCATTAGTGGAATCCGTATCGAGTGACTGAAATTAAAAATGTTAACATATCTATTATTCTGTCTTCTGCACAACAAAACAAAAAGCATGATGACAAAGCAACTCGCCTCCTTAAAATTGTGCGTTCATGTTACTACAAATAGTTGACCTTTGCGTTGACATTCTTTAGAATTACATCCAATATTTTGAACGTGAAAAATTCAAAATGTTATATTGACATCCGTTCATACCTTTCCTGAAATCCTCCAGTCATAAAATTTTTTACAAAAATTCATCCAAAAACAGTTTACATACTTTCAACCACGCTCTAGATACCCGCGATTTTGCGGGTGTGATAGTCATATCATTAGATATTTTTTAATTCATATTATGATCAAAATCAGCTTTTGTCGTTACATATTGCAATTCATAGACTTTGACATGTTTAAAAAAAGAAAATAGGCATCTTAATTCCTCAAGGTTCTCGTAATCAATCACTGAATCCTGATTACAATTTGTCATAGTGCACATTCTATGTAATTCATGTTTTTCCCCAATTTTCTAAAGGGTCTATTATAGAAAAGCTTAGTACCACAAAAGGGATATGTATCTTGTGTACACAATGCAACTGGTGTTTATTAACGTCTTTTTACATTCCCATAGCAGTACTAACAACAATAGAAGCACGCTGTTTGTGGTGATTTTTTCTGGTATTAAATGAAAACGACTTTATAAGTTGTGTGCGGTCGAAGATCTTTTCACACACTCTCAAGCCATGCAAACCAATATTTTTCAAAGCCAGAAATGTAAAAATTACGATGGGGTCTTGCGAGTCGCAAACAATAAATCCAGTTATTGCAATGCATTTCTAAGAGTATCGTATTCTGAATAATTATCTTTTTCTGATTGAAAAAATCGTGCAAACAAATGTATGATTTGAAAAGTAACCGTCATCTTAAATTATGTTATTTTAGTCTTTGCGCTTATATTATATTAAAAAAAATACAAACCTACGCTATTATTCTCCATGTTTGACTGACAATTTTGTTAAATAATTGTTGAAGCGTGTAGTTCACTTGTATTAACATGAAACCTGTCATGTGACCAGTAAAACCTTTGATAAGTAAGCGTGCATGATTATTGATGCCCTGGTGGAAGAAACATTTCCTTCAAAGGAAGGTTGGACATCGTTCCATTTTTAATCATCTTCCTTTTCTATTTAGAATTAAAACGACATAGTGTTGCATTTATTTCCAATGACCTACGTTATATATAAATAACTATCTTTTTAATTTTGCTTTTCTTTGTTGACATAGTTGTTTGTTTCTATTATAATAGTGATTAAGATTATAATACAATGATCACTGATGTACTCCAAGTTTTGACATTTTTACCTATTATGTCTGTTAGTTTTGCTCACACATTGTTGTCAATGTAATGGAATTCCATACAACTGTCATACAGTGAACAGGTTTAGCTAGCTATGAAACCAGGTTTAATCAACCATTTTCTACAAACAGAGAACAAGTCATAAATATGCCAGTTATTTTCCATTCGTTTGATATGTTTGAGCTTTTGATTTTGCCATTTGGTAAGGAACTTTCCGTTTTGAATTTCCTTGGAGTTTGGTATTTTTTATAAATTACTTTTTCTGGAGTTTCAGATCAACACGAAAACTGGATAACCAGGATTTGTCGATATTCCTCTCATAGTAATTGCAGTTTCAATAAACAGTTAAGTCTGCCTCATATCTTGACTTACATCTAGAAAATGGCAACGAGGGTCGGTTGAAAACAAAAGTTTAAAACAAAAAGAAGTTTTCAGCTTCACAATTATGAACTTTTCATTTCTATATAGCAACACTCCAGCAGCCCCTGCATACGCACTATATATCTCCAAGTTCATACGATATTCCAGGGCTTGCGTTTCCTGTTATGCTTTTCTTTTTAAAGGGTTACTGCTCACAAGGTAGCTTTTAGTGCAAGAGTTCCAAGTGGTGAAGTTTAAATCATCCCTTCGTAAATTTTGCGGACGCCGACACAAGTTGGTTGACCGTTATGTATTTACCTATTTTACACATGACGCTGGATCTGTTCCAATTGTCGTAACAACAATCTCGTACATTTTCCCGCGAATGTGACCTAACGAAAAAGACATATCACCGGGTTTATACTTACATGAGCAGCTCGACATACGGAGCAAGATCTGCTTAACCTTCGGGAGCACTTAAGATCCCCCCCCAGTTTTGGTGGGGTTCCTGTTGCTCAGTCTTTAGTTTTCTATGCTGTGTTTTGTGTCCTGTAGTCTGTTGGTCTTTTAACTTTTTTAGCCATGGTGCTGTCAGTTTATTTTCGACTTGTAAGTTTGAATGTCCGTTTTGGTATCTTTCGCTTCTCTTTGTCAATAAAATCATAAACAATAGTTCAGCACTTTAACATAAACCCACACTAAATTAAAACATTACAACTTAGTAGAAGTAAAGTTAGGTATATATTTCAACTTGGTTATAATTTCGAACTATTCATTTCAGTTTATTGACTACAAATATATTCCGACACTTATGTACTTTTAGCATCTTTGAATTGATATTAATTGTATTGTCGTGTTCATTTCTTTCTGCCGAAGGTTGATGGTTCTCTAAAGACACTCTGATTTTCTCCTTAAATAAAAACTGACCTCATTTTCCACATCGAAGGTTTTAATACCAATTTGACTCATCAATTTGTGTAATATTTACCGTTGGAACAATATAAGAAAATAACGATACCAAGTATAGAATGAAATACAGATTCTACCACTGAATCGAGTGTGATGCGAAATTTCTCCACTCGGCTTGTCGGTTTTGTTTTTGGATATTTAAAATTTAAATATCGAGGGTGGAGACATGTTGTATTGGACGTAATAAGATGGTGGAATTTGTATCCCTTATGAATTTGAGACAAATTTTATCTTCCTTTTCAAATGATCTGCAAAAAGATATGTTATTTTTATGTTACATGTACGTCATCAGGCATAGTCGCCCTTGTTCGTGACGGCACGAAAGCAAATCCGAGGAAAGCAGGAAAATTTACAATTTTAAGTCATAATTGAATGTCAACCATTAAGAACTGTAATAAAAAGCTTATAATTTAGTACGACAGACGCGCGCAAATGAATGTAATAAAGATATTGAACTGGTCGCGGAAAGTATAAATCCAGAACGGAAGATCTAAAACCAACTTTCAAACATAAGCGTGATAACAGGGACGTTAGTTGTTGCTATCTGCGTTCAAATTACATACTTGATCTTGTTTGAAAGTATTTTATTTCCAAAATTATAATTTTACACTTGTTACTTTCTACTTTATTCAAATAATTATACTTTCACCGATTGCTGTTTTCCTTTCTTATCACTGTTTAGGGAGAGCGTGTATTTTAAGATGATTGTACTTCAAATGATATACTTCCTTACCCGCTTTCTGGTAACTTTTTCTGCACCGATAAAGAATGTGTTGAACTTCTTCAGTGAAAAACTAAACGTATGTGCCTACTAATTAATTCTAAGGAAATTATATCTTAACAATGAAACACATTTCAGGTCGTCGTAAAACTATTCATTCTACTTATTCAAATTAAAGTACTGGTTTTCGAATACATGGAAAGAGAACATATTTTTTTTCCTGCTTTATTACAATTATTACATATCATACGTGGTGGAATTCCTGAAGAATAGAGTTGATCCGGAAAGTATACAATATTTTCATTTGTTAAATCTTCTTTTTGTAAAAATGAAAATTTGTCATTGTGTGTGCTTCATATACTTTTTTAAATGTGTATTTAAATGAAGGAATATGTGTATTTTCATTGAAGCGTGTTTTTAAATCGTAATAGCTAAACATGATGCATAGGTTAGTAAACGTGTAAGTATTTAAAACTTTTCTGGCAGTGTACGGATTTGTTGTTGTTTATTAATTTCTATTCTTTACTTTTCGTTTCTTATATCTCATCTTAAATTACTTTCGTTTAATTTATTTTATTACTTCAATTTTATTTCGGTCCTTTAGATAATATTTACACAATGTTTTGCCTCTATGCCCGCCTACGATAGTTATATTATCGTCTGTACGACAAGTCTGTTCGACCGTCGAGTATCATGTTTACAGTTTATGGTGAAAGTAGTTTACAATAAAGTTGTAGTAAAATCAACTTGTAACCCAATTCACATGTTCATTAAAATGTGAGATGTTGAAAACATATATGCCAAATTAGGGTTTGGATTCCGAATTTATGGTTAAATGAACATAGAAGTAAAGTGCAAGCGGGGCTTGGTGTCATATGGCGATGTTTGGACACACATTCTTTTTTGTAAGCGTTATGCATAGTTTTCTGTTTTCTTACTTTAGCACATTTTAAGTAGTTGGAAGATGTAACATAATGAAATATGTTATTGGTGTTAATAGTTCACACAACTGGTGTACTGACAGTTACAGCGCAAAGTAAGTTATTCTCAGCTTATGAAAACAAATATCAATGTTGAGTAATTCAATATCATCAAGTTTAATTTGATTTTAATGTGTAACAATTGGAAATGTCAAGATAAATCGGGGCTTTCTCAATTTTGTTAAACTGAAAATCATATATTAATTCAATACCCTTGTCTTAAATTATCATTTACAAATCAAGTATTTTTTAAATTTTCTTTAATTCACGTTATTTGGACCATATTGAAATCCTGGTCAATTGTGAGGTTGGTGATTTTGCCATTGAAACTTACAAAACATGAAAATGGAAGAACGCTGAAATGATTTACCTCCAATGAAAAGAGATACCAATCTCACATAAATGGAGTTAACTTTGCTAATGGTATTTGTTTCCAGACCGATTGTGCTATCCATAAAACAACTGAAATGATTCCCAGTCAGTTTTATATGAGGTAGTATTCATAATGTGCATGCAAACAGTCTTAAAATAAAAAAAACCAAACAAACGGAAACGTTGTTTATGTTGTTTTTTTTTCTGTTGAATTTTCCATGGTCTTTTCTCCACATACTTTAGTTCATTTTAAATTTAATGTCATATTTTGCTTGTCATAAGAACGACAGGCGATGCAGATGGAGCATCAACTACTGCACTTTAGAACCAGGTGCTGCTTTTCCTTCTGGATCTTCACAATCAGTTTTGGTGAGGTTCGAGTTGTTTGATAATCCTCTTTTACTTTCTGTATAGTGTTTAAATTATTTTACTTTTGTGCGTCTTAATGTATTTTTTGTTCTAGTCATTGTATTTTCTGTATTCGATAAATGATTTTATCTATCCTTTCTTACTTTTCCTTTCTTTTTATTGATAACCAAATGTATGTGAAAGCAGATATCAATGAAATTATTACTTTAATGAAATTGCACTATTAAGGATGTGCCACAAGTCATAGAAAACAATCAAATGCCTATAAAATCGAATCAATTTTCAGACAAACACGTAACAAACAGACAATATATAGTGCTCTGAAAAACGATGGTAAAAACATAGCAGTAACCACTTCTCTCAAATAAATTGATAATTATTCAAAGTTATCAAGACAATAAATCTGCGTTTGCAAATCGGGGAAACATCTAACCCAAACGGTAAGTGCAGCTGATAGCTGATAGACGAGATTAGACAAACTATCTACATATACGTCAGAAACTACCGAATAAGAATAATACTAGATTTTCAGATAATTTTGGTGTGGTTTGATTAATTTCAAACAATGATTTATGTATTGCATGAACGAGTTTCACCAAGTATGTGTCTCATTTCTTTTGCATTTGCTTCTTAACGTACAGTGAATCTTGCACCAAATGGCACAGCAACCCAAAGTTCTAACAATGACGCAATTAAAGGTAAACCGGAAAATGCTGTAAATCCTCCAATATCAAATGAATACAGTCTGGATAAGTGTTCACATACAAAAGAAGCACAAAGTGGTATTAACGAAGCTTGGTGGATGTTCGAATTTTCTTTTGGTACAGCATACATAACAGAAGTAACAATATATTACAGAGAAAACTGTAAGTATTCTCCCTCAACTACATGTATAATACGAAATTTTTTATCTTTGATTTCTATAACTCCTTAATATGCTTGTAATTTTCAATTTGTTTTTTATCGAAAATCAAATGAGATATTGGGTTTACGTCAATGCGACAGTTATCCAATGACAAAATTTCCAAACAAAATCTATAAAGCAATGTACAGTCTTCAACAATAGACAATCTAGTCAGAATCCAGATGAAAACTGTCTAAACTCTATAAAAGCTGTGCAAAATTAAACAGAAACATTAAAAGATCTGCCGTCATCACCAAATTCTATAAAATCCGGAAACATATTTAAATATGACAAATAACTTATAACCTTTACTAACGAGGTTCCTGAATTAGTTTACATCGAAGCAAGCAATTTGGTATTAAATACATTGTAGGATTCAGAGATTGATAGCCATATTCGAAAAATTAATTAAAAAAATGGAATGTGAAGAAGGCAATCTTGTGAATCGCTCGCTTTCCTATAATATCACCCCATGTCACTCTATATAAATAAGAAGATGTGGTATGGGTGCCAATGAGACAACTCTCCACAATGTATAAAAAAGTTAACAATTATAGGTCAAAGTACGGCCTACAACATGGAATCTTGGCTTACACCGAACAGCAAGCTATAAAGGGCCACAAAATGACTAGTGTAAAACAATTCAAACACGAAAGCCAACGGTCTAATCTATATAAAAAGCAAGAACCGAGAACCCCCTATGAACCACACCAACAAACGACAACCACTGAACAACAGGCTCCTGACTTAGGACATATAGTTTACCATTCTTTATCAATAAAATAAAATAAAAAATATTATTCTAACATGACGTTCTGTAAAAACTTTGAGTACAATACGTATATATTAATATGTCAGCTGATCGTTAACGTCAAATATTGGCTGTTCCAAATATTGTTCCCTATTCGTTTGTGGACTGAGTGATTGAGCCATATCCGGCACAACGTTTCTGAAATGTTGATTGTTAATGCTCTTCAATATAAAGACAAGGAGTTGTCGTATGGTCGATAAATGAGACAATTATCCACCAGAGTTCAAATGCATAAGACAATATTAAAGCAAATATAAGTCACCGTACGGTCTTTGATAATAATAAAAACCAATACGCATAGTCAGTTATAAAAGGCCTCGACATGAAAAATGTGAAATAATTTAAACGAGAAAACTAATGGCCTAATTTATACAATAAATTTTACGACAAACATATATGATAAGCATGAATCAAAACAGAATTACAGGCTCGTGTATTGGGAAAGGCACATAAACACTCCCCCTAACCTGGGACAGTGGTGTTACAGCACAACAAAAATTTAAATCTGGCGTACCAAATTATGAGCCAGATGTGTTTTTTTCTTAAAAATGTCCTGTACCAAGTCAGGAAAATAGCAATTGTTATCGTATAGTTTATTTCTGTGTGTGTTGCATTGTCGGTTGTTGTTTGTTCACTTCAGTGTTTCTGTTGTTTCGTTGTCCAAATGTACTATATTGTATTGTTTATTTGTGTAATTCTCTGTCCGTAATGTTGTACTGTATTCATGTCATGTAATGGTGTCATTTTAGTGTTATATTTAACATTGCCATAAAAGTGCGAGGTTTGGCTAGCCACAAAACCAGGTTCAACCCACCATTTTTTTCTTAAAATGTCCTGTACCAAGTCAGGAAATTGCCATTGTTATATTATAGTTCGTTTCTGTGTTTGTTACATTTTAATGTTGTGTTTCTGTTGTGTCGTAGTTTTCCTCTTATATTTGATGTGTTTCCCTCAGTTTTAGTTTGTAACCCGGATTTGTTTTTTTCTCAATCGATTGATGAATTTCGAACAGCGGTATACTACTGTTGCCTTTATTTTTCAACCACTGCTTATTGACGTTTCGTCCTCGAGGGAATGACCAGCCCAGTAGTTAGCACTGAAGTGATGACATGAAATAACATAAAACGTCAATTTCATATAAATTTTACGTTGCTCAAATTAAAAATGCTCGAAACCCTACGGTTTCTTTCTGGCCAAACATAAATGGCCTATGCGATATTTGGCACAATTTTCGGATCATAAATTTCAATAAGGATTGAGAGTTGTTATTGATACTAAGAATAAACTCTTATCATACAGTAATGCTAAGATCATGATTTGCTACGAGAAACCTGATAATTCTTTTCAAATCAATACACAAAATAAGATTTACATAATGAAATGGTTATATTGCAAATACAAGAAATAGTTCAATAAACTCTTATCAGGTGTGATGGTAGAGTTGCGGATATAAATTGGGTACCCAAAATTAACAAAGCCATTAACCGCAACGTCAATGATTTGCTGTTTGGGGATTCAGATGGATTCAAATGTGATTTGTAATGTGCAGATCTTCCAATGTCCATGCCTTTCAAATGAAAACTTTAGATATCATTTACATTAAGAAATTGAATAGGAAGAGCAGTTGCGAATAAAAAAAGTTTGACAAAGTGACGAACGGACGGACTGACGGGCGGACGGACAGTCGGTCGATTGGTCGAATCTACTGTCGGACGGTTGACATCAGCACACTATACTACCTGCTTCGGAAATTGAGGTGTATGAGAACTTATTGGTCATATTTTTCTTGCTTTTATCTATAAATGGAAGAATTTTCATATTTTCATGTTAACCTTGTACATCTGTAAAGGTTTGATACACCATAAGTTTTTAATTTACATGATATATATTATATAACACAAAAAAACAAAGTGTACCCATAAAAAAATAAGAATAAACATCAAGATTGCGTAGTGACTTATAAAGTTCTCTACATGTACTCAGGAAAAATCTTTTCACATCTGGGTAAAATTAATCAAGATTATATTACTAGCAAAAATTGAGCGTACTATTTATCATTCTTACGTCCATTTAGATCGTACATAGATTAAAAGACAATAATTTTGTATCAGTCATATGATTAACTTTTCGTTTGAAATTAAAGTACTTCATATCACTGATATGAGATATGATTCCTAAGGGCATCATTGATTTCTCTTCTACGATCTAATGAATATCGAACATTTTAAATAATTTTCTATACATTCATAAAAAAGATTGAATATCTTTTATTGCAGCTGCTAAGCGAATGGATGGATTTCGGTTATATGTGACCAACACACCTAATATCCCACCCGACGGTCATCTGTGTTATGAAGACGGTTATGGTTTTCCAACCACCACTCAGACAATTCCTTGCAATAACCTTGGACAATACGTCATTTATTTCGATAATAAAGGATCTGACGAAGGAAATTTCGTCCCCGGACCTATTATTGAGTTGTGTTACGTTGCTATTTACGGTTTGTTTTGTATTTTTGTTAGATCTTACTCTGTATATCATCAATATAATTATACGATTGCTTTTACTAAAAATGTTGTCTTAAAAATGATACGGAGTTGACGTCTATTTAACTGTTACAAAAAAAAACAGTGTTATTGCAAAACATGAAAAGTCCAGAAAAAATTATTCACTATTTATTAAGTTACGGTATTGTTAAAATTCTGATATATCAAACAGACATGTGTTTATTGTTGAAAACCACGAGTTTACCATTTTATGTTTGTCTGTTCTGATAGTGTGGTTGAAATGCGTATTATTATTAAAACAGTACAGTTCTAAGACACTGACCAGGCAGACTATCAGTTAGATAGAATTCTGGCCCGATTAACGCAATCTGTTGAAGAAAATTACAATTATTGTAGAAAAGAACTGATGATACAATTATATCTTTTAAAATCATTAGTACATCCCCGAATTGAAAGTTGTATTTTGATAGACCAATGTTTAGTCGTTTCTTTTGTTTAATTATAAATGTATGCATTTTTTTGTTAAAAATGCCCCCTGTACTAAAAGCCGGTAAACAAAGATATGCAATTCAACATCATTCATATTCTATTATAAAAGTTCAAGCATTATATTATAAATTGAGAAAATATCAAGAAGTGTGCAATAATTTATGTCTTTACCATTTTCCAAAATGAAGCACTGCTTTCAATAATGACAAAAGACGAAGCATCTATGTAAAAGGAAAAACTTTTAAATATGATATTAAGAAAATTTAAAAAATTCTTATTTATATTTTTAAACTTAAACGAATCATTTGAACTGCATTCTTCTTGAAGGTTGTCCAAAGAGCTTTTGGGGGAGTAACTGTAACATCTCTTGTGCAGTAAATTGTAGGGAACAACATTGCTTCCCTGGAAATGGTTCCTGCGTTTTCGGAGGATGCAGCAATACAAATTGTTTGAATAACAACTGCGATGAAGATACTGAAGTTTGTATCGAAGGTTGTAAAGGAGATCGAACAGGACCCTATTGTAACAAAAGTAAGTTATAATGATATGTACTAGTATACGTATTTGTAATAGTACAATGGTCAGTCTTATCAATAGTACTGTTTTGTAAAATATGTGATATTTAGTAATAAGGTGCAACAAAAGCAAAAATGATAAACTATTAAACAACCAACGAAAATACAGTTAATGCTGGAAACGGAATCACAGAAGGAAAAACAGTTCCCTCTGGACATATATTGTTACTAACAGGAAAACAATCATAACATGTATAACATATTATAAACCATAAATTCATTTGTTTGTCTATCCTGCAATGGTACACTTTCATTCGCTATTCGTTTGGTCAATGATGACGCCGAAAGCTCAAAAGGGAGTTTTTATTATATATGATTACGGAGATGTGGCACTCTTCAATAATATACCAAACAGTCACCTGTTGCACCTATGAAATGATTATTATGAATATATAAAGCGGATAGACTTCCAACAATCGATAAATACTGTACGTGCTAATGACAAAAGTTATGTTTTTATGATTATAGATTATGAATATGAGAATAGTTAAGATTGTGCTGTTTATGAGATTCAGTTTCGGTTTTGAATTTTTGTTTTGTTTTCATTTTATTCTTGTAACAATTCCCATAAATTATCGCGACAAGGGATACCACCAAACGCATAGAAAGCACACAACATTTGAGTATATATGTTTCAGATCCTGAATGTTTCCTTGACTCCAAGACTTCAGTTATGACGTGTTTGCCAAAGATTTATCAGGTATTTCTCTTTTACACAAGTCAAATATTAATTTGATTTTCAATTGGTAATTAATCTAAATCTGATAAACTGATATATTGCTAATATAGCGGTATTAAGAAAAACATATTAATCTAGTGCTCTAACGACAAATCATTAAAATTCAAAAGCCTCTAGGCTGCTGAATTGAAGCAGCGGTTAGATGAGGATAACAAGGTGGTTGAAGAAGGCATAACAAACATTGGGAATGCATATCACTTCCTAAAACGTATCTCCAATCCAGTTTAAATGCCTATGTGGGCGATACATCATTGACTGCATGTTTGTCATACGTTTTATTGTGCTCCAAATGACTTCAAATTGTTAACTTGAAATTGAGCTATGACAAGTTTTACATATATTTTATATTGCATAAACAACGTTGGTCATTTAGAAAAATTTCTGGTATATACATAAACTAATCATAGATACCAGAATTAAAATGTTGTACGCCAGACGTGCGTGTCTTCTGCAAAAAAACATATAAGTCTCGAATCAAAACAGTTAAAAAGACCAAATATAATACGAAGTCAAAGAGCATTGAGGATCCAAAATTCCAAAAGGTTTTGCCAAAACAGCTAAGGTAATATATTCGTGGGATAGAAAATCCTTAGCATTTTTTATCCTGGTCTGAATTTTTATGAGACAAACACGGCATTTGACGGAACATATTTAATTAAATGGAAATGTCATTATTTTTTTTTAATCAGGAGTACAAATATTGTAACATTAATAATAAGTAATAAATCAGTAACACTACTCTTAATGATTCTATACTTTTTGGGTGAAAAAGGGAAGAATAAAGGTATTTCTATATTTTATTTAGAAATTAGATTATTTAATGTAAATTTAAGCCTAATCGTTCATTTATTGTGAATATAATAGTTTTTTTTTTAAATGTAGATAAATAGTTTAAGTGTGTTATATTGCCATAGAAATTTAATAAGCATTCGACTCATGCTTTTTCAAAGATTGAAATGAATTGAAAATGGTCCATTTATCTACAAATTATACGCAAATACCATAACTGCATAAAGAAGAAAAATAGTTCTACAATGCAAGCAGAAAAAACCAAGATACTTGATCATTCATTATATGTATATGACAAGAAATATGACAAATAATTCTTGACTGTAAGCAAAAAAATATGGATTATTGTTGATTTATTTTATGTATTTGACATGATATTTTGTATTGTAATTGTTAACAAATACTTACTTTTTGGATGTTGATTGTTACTTGTAAACTCCATTTCCTTATAATACTTGATGCTTTAATAATACAATCCTTTCATATCACTTGGATGAAAACTGTAATTTTTCAAAGTGTCTGTGTTTCCTATCTGACATCAGGATTTTTTTTATATAGGTGTATCCATCGAGGGGACCTGTAAATGGTGGAACATTGTTGACAATAACTGGAAAATATATAGGAAATGTTACTGATAGTATTTCTGTCGATGTCAGTGGAGTAAGATGTCACAACGTCACAGTTGTAACACCTGAAACTAGGTAAAGAAATTATATACCTTGTAAAGTTATGCTATTAAATAAATGTCAACAAGCATTTACAAAACGAAACATGAAAAAGGAAGGAAAGGAGCAGTCATACACTATATTATTTCCCATAAACAATATAGAAACATGCAGCAAATGTTATAGGGCAGTCTACAATGCATGAAACACCTGGTATTTGGAAGTTACGGATATTCATTCTGTAAATTTAACGTTTCTGAAATGTAGAAATAATTGTTTACAGATTTAATATTCGGTAAAAAAAATTACAATATTTAACAGCTTTTGACTGAACTTATTCATCATTTTAATTCAAACAACAGGTTTTTATAATTTTGAATTTTGGTTAACATAACTTGTTTGCTTTAGGACTTCAAACGGCTTGCATTTAGTGTTAAGCTTAAAACAAACTGCAAACATACATTGCCTCATTTTGAGGTCTTGCCATAAATGTTGAGATATTAGTAACAGCTAACAAAAATGTGTTGCTACAAGAAGTTATCTCAAACATTTTTAATAGTTCCTTTATTGACATGATCTATTGTAATAAGTCCATTGCAGATCAAACATGTTAATAACATTATATCGTTGTGAACATATATTAATGGAATGACTCTCATTGTTAAAGGATTGAAATGTTTTGTTGAGCAAACAAATTTGGTCCGTTCCGATGATAAAAAATTGGTATGAAGGTATTCAAAAATACTTTTACTCTTGAAAATATTTTATACGAACATGTGTTAAACTTAATGTTGCTAGGGTAGGCATGGACATATATGGATGGCAAAACTTTTTGTTTGGCTTTTTATTTTAATGGTTCATATAATGGCCTTTGAAACACTTGCTTCTATTAAGAATTTGACAATTGTAAGTTCTGTAGAGTACAAGTTTTATGTTCTTACAAAATAAATATGCATGAAATGTTTTACCTTTTACGGCAATCAAGTTTTTATTAGGTACTGTGTCAGGAATTTTGATAGCAGACTACAGGCTGCATTAAAATTTACAGCGCATGTGTTGCATAAGTTAAGTAATTCAATTGATTAAAGTGTGCTTGTAAAGTTTTTTTCAGTATAACAAAAAGTACTGGTGATTTCAACATTTGACTTGTTTACCTAGTAGGTGAATCAAGAGTAAAAGGTAAAACTATCGTGCAAATGTTATATACTTTGCAGCAGTTGGGGGTGACTTACCTGTTTTAACAAATGGCTAAGCGTAGTCTTTAAACAGTTTTGTTTTGCTCTAAGAAAGAAATCTCAAACATTTTTGTCAAACGAAGTACAATTTAAAGATACTATTTACATATTTCTATAAATTTTAATTTTTCATCATTTGTGCTCGGAACCCATAATAAGTAATAAAGGTTGAAATGCAACCATATAATTTTATAACTAGTATAACGCCATAACATGCTACACATCCAAAACATGTTCACCGTGTCAGTATCCGAAGATACGAAAAATATTTTGGGATTCATTTGGTCCACAATATATAACTACACAGCAGTTCAATATTACCCAATTCCGTAGACCATACTGTTTATAATTATTTATGAAATTAAAGTATCGCATTTTTTTAGTTCAAAATAAAACTGTATTGTTCACTATGGTTTTTCTATTTTATTCATTCGCCAGTTTGAATTGTGTTATTGGAAGAGGCACCATAAACCAGACAAAAGGAATATTCATTTCAGTAAATGGAAACAACTTTAGCGATCCACTGATCACTTACTACAGCTTTAAGGTATGGAATACACCAATGTTTAAAATGATTAATTTTTTAAGACCATATCCGTTTGTCTGATAACTGAATATAGTTATCAAAGGTACCAGGCTTATAATTTGATACGCCAGACGCGCGTTTCGTCTACATAAGACTCATCTGTGACGCTCAGATCAAAATAGTTAGAAAGCCAAACAAGTATAAAGTTGAAGAGCATTGAGGACCAAAATTCCAAAAAGTTGTGCCTAATACGGCTAAGGTAATCTATACCTGGGATAAGAAAATCCTTAGTATTTCGAATGATTAACACTTTTGCAAACAGTTAACTTATAAAAATGACCATATGATTGATATTTATGTCAACACCGAAGTGCTGACTACTGGGCTGGTGATACTGAAATAATGAAACGCGTTTTAATTAGATCACTTCATAAAGACTTTGGTGATAAGTTTGGTTAACTACTGCAATTTTCAAACCGTTTTGTTATAAATTAGGCCTTTGGTTTTTTCTCGTTTGAATTGATTCACAATTTTCCTGTCGTGGCCTTTTATAGTTGACTATACTGCATGGGTTTTTTAAGGCCGTACGATTGTCTTTTATTGCTTACATCCACTTCATTTGAACGCTGGTGGATGGTTGTCTCATTGGCAATCATACCACATCTTCTTAATTGTATAGTAACATATAAAAAAAGAAAGCACAATAGGTAGATATACATCTTAAAATATCTTCCTTAGTTCACCAAAAGGAAAATGCTTATCCTTTTCTTAGTTGCCTACCATGAGGATTCATTTCAGGATACCTTTATGCAAGATTAATATTTTATGAACAATCACTCACATGAATCTGATAGAAACATATGCAATACCAGTATGTTCAATAAATTAATATAACTTTTCTCGTAAAAGGCATTACCTATGCAGCGAAATCGTGTGATGAATTTTATTTTAGGAGCTTATGATCCAAGAATTTTCACCAAAGAAAGGAATCGTCGCGGGAGACACAACTGTAACAATAATAGGAATCAATATAGGATTCGAAGGACAAAATCGATACAATATTTCATTTTGTGACATTGAGACTTGTATACAATGCAGGTATAGTAGTTTTTGCATTCAACAATATAGCCATTTTGTTAAGGAATATAAACTATAAATAGTACTGACCGTGTATTTATCGACCCGTCCACATGGCTGACTTTTTTAACGACAGGTTGACTTTGCACTATTTCGAATAAAATGTAATAAATAAGTATCATGTGTTTGTTATTAAGAAAAGTAATTATGAAGGCGTTGAGATTTTTAAGCCAAAAAAAAAACCACGTGTAGTAAAATCCTGACATGATTATTTTTATAATTTACTGTTTGGTAATGAAAATATTGATAAAGTATTCGCAAAGTTAACTCGACCGGAAATAGGCTGCAATGAGATGTATTGTCAAGCCAAAATTGACCCGTGAAATCAATGCATAGGATTTCTATAACTTTTAACATTTTACTGTAACAATGTACTTTCCAAAGGGGCAATTAAGTTTTTGTGCACAAAAATTTGTATTACGAGAATCAACAAACCAAAAATAGATTAGAGAATACTGATTGAAACTGGAAGACTCCGTGTTTGTTTTACTTTGCAGTCGCTATGTCACATAACTCGTTCGTCGGGTGTTCACCTCCCGCTTTACTAGTACTCTACTTTTTATGGTCCATGCTTTATTTTGATAAAGCTACAAGTATTTGTAATGTAAAAACAAGTTGTCTGCAATGAAAGGGTTATTATATACTAGTATTTGAATAATTTTCTAAACATTCCTTTATTGTCAGACGAACTCCCGTGACAGAAATTCGAACACAGCTGTGCCATTCATGGAGACTTTTCAGGATCATAGCATATCGACCTAATTTTACTATTCTACAATTTCAGCTCCTTTCAGGAGTTTATACAACTTGTCGTTTAGTCAGGTTGACATTTTAATACCTCTGAAACTATAGCTGTTTGAATATAGTCCTTGCTAAACAAATCGAGACTATATAACATTGATTGTTCCAAATAACACTGAACCCACACAGTTTAATAACCTTAAACTGTCGAAGTCACCAATATTTACTTCTCCTTGAAGTATTTTACCGATGAAATTGCAAGATGGATTGATTGGTTACTTTGTTGCTCACATTTTATCTGTTAGTAAACTTCATATCAGGACGATTTCAGTAAAATGAAATGCGAAGGAAGACATCTTCTCTGTACTAGTAGCAGCAAAAACCAAAACATATTTTCAAATAATTTGTTTTGCAGTGGTCAGATTTATTAGACGTGATATAGCCTCAAATAAGTTAATGGACCAGTTTTATGTTGTGTTTTTTTTTTTTGTACTGCTGTTTACATTTCCGATGTTTTTAGTTTTTTTGCCATAGCATTGTCTGTTTGTTTTCCACGAGTTTGAATATCCCTATGTTATCTTTCGCCTCTCTTTTTGTCGAAAGAGTATTTTGCCCGGCAAAAAGCATGTCAACATAGTTATCATAAATATTCAAATTAAAATATGTATATTACAGTGCTTTACAGCATACCGTCAATACAACGTTCATCAAGTGCAAAACAGGCCAATCAGGAGAACCCCGAAATATGACCCAATTACAGATTGTGATTGATGATTTGACATTTTTAACACTTAACGAAACATTTCAATATTTACCTGATCCAAAATTCCAAATTTCAAATGAAACAGCGAGAGCTTTCGAGAGGTAAGAGTAAATATACATTTCTTGATTTGTAAAAATATGTTATAAATTCAATTTAAAGTATTAAAGCAATACTTAGAGCCAAATGAAAACTTATTCGTTTATATTTGTTATATTTCACATGTCCCTTTATATAGTTATATGCTTAAAAAATGATATACAAATAAACGTTATATATTGGTTTTACATCAGAAGCATTTTCTATTCAAGCTTTCATAAGCTTTTCTTATTGCGATGCCTTAATTTTGTTCTTTAGTGGAGGCGTAACATTTACAATTCGTGGCGAAGGGTTCAATAATGTAGGCGAGATAACTGTTGAACGAATGGTAAGTAAAACTCCGTAGATCATAACTTTACCAATTTGATTTGAAAATAAAATATATAATAAAGAATAAGGTAACTTAAAGGTACTGGCTGTTTAAAAGGCTACCCACTAAAGTAAAATTGAAAGTTATCTAACTCTACAAATACTAGTTGAGAAGGTATATCTAATTCAAGGGACATTACTTTAGAAATCATTCGTCCGTTTGTGACAACCATTTTCATAAATATTTTCTAATAGAAAAACAAAGGATATGATGTATCCATCGATGGCACAAAATCAGTACTTGCACAGCAAAAAACACACAAGAAGCGAAAGAATAGCGCTTTTATTGCTGTTCATCATTTCAAAGTCACAGTGAGGCCTTCAACACGGAGCAAAAAAACTCTAACCTCACTGCAAGTTTAAGACGGCCCCTAGCATCGATTTGAACGGAATTCTATGCAAATTAATTCGGATAGATAGACTTTTTAAGACGTATCACCAAAACATCGGGCCCGGCCAAAAACGAACATACTGGAAAGTAGTACATATCTAAGCTTTTATGTAACATCAACATTTTATATTCTGCATAACTCATTGACGAATCTGACTTTAGCAATTATGAATGCATAACTGATCGCTAGACAACCATGCACGCGTTTTCAATTCGAACATTTTTCGGTCTCGAGTAAAAAAATATCGTTTTACACTTGATTCAAATTAAAATAACACTTTAAACATTGCATGCATAAGTTCGAAGAAATTTTTGGGATTTACTTTCGTCAGGCACACTCAAACGTATACATTAGAAGCTATATATTCGATGCAATGGAACAATTCATTTAAACAGATACAATGTATGTATTTTTGAAAAATGAAAACACATATATTTTTTTTAATTATTTTTGTTTATTTAACATGTTAATTATAATTATGATAATGTCAATCGATGTATTAGGATGAGCCATGTAGCGTACCAGAAGATACAGCAGCTGTCTGTGAAACACCGTCCAAAATACAGATTCAACAAAATAATCAAACTGTTCGTGTTTATTTTGATGGGATTATACTTAAAGTAATCATAGAATATGTGGCCGATCCTACGTTCGAAAGATTTTCAAATGTACTGGAATATGATAAGGAGTCGCCTATCCAAATCAAGGTAAGGTTTGATAATTCAGTTGCATTTTCTATAAATAAAAGAATCACAGAATGTGTTAATTTTGTTAATTAAATTAAATATGATGAATGCTAAAAACCTTTCTGTTCAAAGAAATTTGATTTCTGTGCACACACTAAAAAAAGAGCTTATAGAAAAACTTTCATCGCATTCTTCATGAATAAGTTCGGAAAGCAAATTATATAGTATGAGTGATAGCATGAAACGAAAAGGACTTAAAAAAGAAACGTAGAACTTAACATAAAATGTAGAATTTGATTCATGACAGACCGTAACACAGGCTTCTAGTCAAATGGTTATCGTGTTAAGTTCTAGAAATTATTTAATAAAAATCATTGTCCAAAACTTTGAAGTTTGCTAACAGAAAACAGAGTATAGTTGGTGTTTTACCGGGACAATGACATATAGCAGACAGGAGTTATACACATTACATGCAATCATATTGCCAAAATTTACATTTTCAATAGCAAATTGCTGTGACAGTGATACAATGACAAGACGATAGCAAAAAAGAAATGTCTACAATGGAATTGTTTTATGAGCAAACACAACAAAAGCCACAAATTGAACAAGAACTGTTTAAAATTTCAGTGCACTTGAGTTTAGCACGATTTTTTGTTTGATACGTGTTGCATTATAAAACGTTAAGTTTGTGTTTTGTTTATCTTCAAGTCTTTTTTTCGTTTTTTCATGTCACGATGTTGTCCATCTATCTTCGACTAATGAAATTTGTTTGCCCCTTTTTATATTCCCCCCCTGTTAAGACCTTTGCTAACAGAAACGCGGATATCAATACTTGGTGTTCTCGTGCTCTCATCGGGTGTGGAAGTCGGGGTTCGATCTTCGGCTGGATCAAACGGGGGACTTGAATATTGTTGGATGCTGCTACTCCGCTAAGCATACGGCATTATGGAGTTGGAGCAAAAAATGTTGGCTTAGATTTGGACCATCCAACTTTTTATTATCAGAGATGCATTGGTGTCCCTTGACTTCTGCTCCATACTTCTTGTAATTGTTTCCTACTACAGTATTACATATTCAATTTGATACTTACACCCCAGTTGTATTGTTATACTTCATATTTTCTATTTCTGAAACAAGTGTAAATTGAATAGATCTATTGTTACGAATAACAAAGGATTTTGACCACAGGGTGTGACGAGCGGGGTTTCTGGAAACCCCTGCTTCTACATCCCGCAAACAAAGTCCATTGTTATTCGTAACAATAGAAATTTATTATTTTTTAGATAGCATGAACATAAGAAATTACTAATAGTGTTCACTACAAATTGTTTCATGATATTAAAAAAAAAACATTTTAGGAAATCCCAATAGCGAAAAAAAATTAAGCATCTATTTTGAATACAAAAATAATCCTTTAAATACTCCTTTGCTTGAAGATATTTTTTTTATCCCAGTCATATGTCTCTATTCTAAAGCATTGGTCTTTAAAAAAATGGGGATTCTTACTCCCGGGACCCCCCCCCCCCCTTACGGTTACCCATTGGCCGATCTGGGGTGGGGGTTCCGCGGTTTGGACCCGACTTTTATTTAAAAGATCAATGCATTTGAATGGTTGGACCCCCCTTTTTTTCTCTTGAGTTGGGAACCCCCAGCTGGATCAGCCCCTGTTTGCCCCCAAAAAGGGAGTTCCTAAATATTAAATCTGTATCTTTGTATGTTGAGCGTGTCTGGTAGTCTGGTCACACCTATCCCTTAGTATGTCCGAATATGAATGTTTATTTATTCTCGAGAAGAGGGGGGGGGGGGGGGGGTTATAAATCCGTAAGATATAAAATACAGTTATGATTACCTTTATTACACTGATACAGGTAAGTACTTTGGGTTATAGTATTGCCTTTATCTTAAGTCTCTTCTACCAAATCCAACGCTTGCAACAAAATGTCGTCCGTTTTATACCCGTACATATTGACAACTGCATACAAGGAGCATGATGTATTTTTGTTTGTAATAAGAATACACGAAACGGTCAACATTTTAGTACATGGATTTAACGGGAATATGCAAAACAACTTTGACATTTGTAAAATATAATCACTTGTCAAAGTTTGAACAAAGATACCCTAAGAAAGGTTACTAGTGGGGTTTCATGTAATAGAAAAAAAATTCTTATAAATCATGGTTTAATATTGTCAATAAATATGCTATCGGTTTTTTTTTCATTTAATAATCAATGTTAAAAAATATAGGGTATAGAATGGGGTGTAAGTTAGTTATACACCTCGGGATACGGCGTGTCTGGATAAGAAACCCCTCCGGCCTCCGGCCGACGGGGTTTCTTATCCAGACACACCTATCCCTCGGTGTACAACTATTACAGATGATGAACGTTACAACATTTTTCACGCTTTTTCATTTCGATTGTATAAACGTCAATGACAAGTTCTTTGTTTATGGTCATTCATTACACTATGCTATCGTTAGTTACTCAGTATAATTATTACCTAATCAGAGGAGTAAATGACAGCATTTAACGAACGATAGGGACTTATTTTCTTGTCTTTGATTTTCTGTATAGGGTCGAAATATTTTGAATTTAGCACGACGTGAAGACTACAGTGTACATATTGGTTTGGATGGAAAATGTGTCATCACTGATATCGATATGTTATTTATTACATGTTTGCCACCAAAATCAGTACCTCGGACTAATAAAACAGATGTAGATATTGTTCATGTTATCGTAAGTGCAATTTATGATTTAAGGTTTTTAAGTTAAATTCATGAGATTGGCCATGCCACTATTTTTAGGTAACGAGAACTAACTTCTTTAAAACTGTCACACCCAAGGGACACCATTGTCTTTCACACATGCAACACATGGTTACCGCAACACATACATATATTCGCGCACAAAAAAAAACAAACATATACAAATTAAACCACGCACAAAGGAAAACTTTGTAAAAGAAACGGTAGACCCAAAAAGCAAATTATAAAAAAAGATAAATAAAAAGAGGTGTTTGGTATACAGTACCAAAATATGCACAATGACACAAAGAATCAATCAAAAAACTGATTATTAAAAATTCCGGCTTTTCTCGCAACATGATTCAGTTGTTTTTAAATTGCCTCCCTTTGACCAGTCGCATTGTAAACTGGGAGAAAGAGTGCACATCGATTTGTAAAACAAAATATTTTTTTTTTCGGACAAAGGGCTATCTTTTCATCAAATGGTCTCAATCAATAAGTTTGTTTTACATAGTTAAATTGCTTAATACGTTACCAACGATATATCAATTAATTGTCTTTCTTGTATGGCCAAATGGTAATTAAACATCTATAGAATTTTATCAAACGACATACACCAACGTTGTTGGCTGCCTTGTCAGCATGTTCAGGTTCAAACACAAAACATTCTCTGACAATTCCGTTTAAAATTAGTTTTGAAATGCTAATTACGCCTATCAACAAGACTACTGCATATTTTGAAGAAAGTATCAAAGTTTAACGATTTTTAATTTAAATTTATTTCATAAGCTTTCTCATTTATGTACAAAACAAATGCAGTTCTAAGAAAACAAGTCAATTGTGATTTTACGACGTCATGGACAATGTTCTGGTCATATTTTTAGAGAAAATTTATAGCTTCGCGGTATTTAACAAGGTAACACCTTCAGAACATATTGTGTGATGAACTTAATATTTAAACTTTCAATGTCTTCCAAACCGGTTCAGATGTTGCACCGTGTGATGGAATTCAGCATGCCCCGAAGCTCATACGTTCTGAACATTACTCCCCTGCTAAGTTTATATTTTCAAATAAATCGGACTAGTTTTATATTTCTTTAACAAGATGTGTTCATGTTACATTGGTTTTTTTTTTAACTCACAGAGCATACCGTATATACTACTACTACGGTAGACATGTGAGTGTTTAACGACCTTGACTGGCTATAAAGCCCTCACACGGTCGGTACAAACGTCGTATATACTAGTATAATATCATCATTCCTATGGCTTAATTTCTTGAACTTGAAATACAAGTTTATTTTTTATCACTAGGAAAAGAGACGCGCGGTACACACTATACACTGACATGTATAGCAAGGCGCATGCATACGTATCACACGATTTTCGATAACGAGGCCTCGGTGGCCGAGTGGTCTAATGAGTCGAAGTAATGTATCACTAGGCGGACAAGACTGAGGTTGTAAGTTCAAATGTCGCACATGGCAGATGCGCTCGATTCCATTCTTAATTGACTAGGATTGTCAGTTTTCCTATCGAAGATCGGGGGTTCTCTCCTGGCACTACGGCTTTCTCCATCAATAAAAATTGATCGCCACGAAATAGCACAATAGTGCTGAAAATGGCGTTAAACACCAATCAATCAATTGATCAATTTACGGTTAAGAAGGTTGATCATCTCAAGGAGTATCTTGCGGTCAATAGTACAAGAAATACTTTCATCGGGTGCCACATGTGGAGCAGATCTGCTTACCCTTCCGGAGCACCTGAGATCACCCCAGTTTTGGTGGGGTTCTTGTTGCTCAGTCTTCGTTTTCTATGTTGTGTTTTGTGTACTATTGTTTGTCTTTTGGTATTTTTTTCTTTTTTAGCCATGGCTTTGTCAGTTTGTTTTCGACTTGTGAGTTTGAGTGTCCCTCTGATATCTTTCGCCTCTCTTTTTCAAAGGTGTTTTATTCGAGGCATATAAATGTTGAAGATATGCCACACAGCCTTATGTTTTTACTTTGGAAAAAATAGTAGTGCATTATGAACTTTCCATTCTAGGATATATTTTTTTACGAAACTTCATAGTAAAAGTGGCACAGTTTTAGCCGTTAAATGAGTTCCTATGGAAAATTGCATTGTCTATATTAACAGAAGTGCAACCTGTACTTTTTAGATAACAGGAATATTGAAGGCAACATATTTATCTAAATAATGTACTTTTAAATAATATACATGTAGGTGGAAGTTGTAAAGATCATGGCTTACATCGGTGATTTGCAGTATACAGAAGATGACAATAACTTTTCCCTTATTGTTGGACTTTTAATTGGTGGATTGGTTACATCTGTTATTATTGGTTTTTCTGCTATATCAGTTTTAAGGCGAAATAAGAAAAGAGCTGTTAAAAAATGCAAAATGGAAATGAGCGAAGGTAATTGATAAAGGCTTATTTAATTGTTGTTAAAAATCTACATGACTTTGTGTAGCCCATGTATCTGCGAAACAATTGGCGTAAATATCAATCATTTATGAATAAAATTGAGAATGGAAATGGGGAATGTGTCAAAGAGACAAAAACCCGACCATAGAGCAGACAACAGCCGAAGGCCACCAATGGGTCTTCAATGCAGCGAGAAACTCCCGCACCCGAAGGCGTCCTTCAGCTGACCCCTAAACAAATATGTATACTAGTTCAGTGATAATGGACGTCATACTAAACTCCAAATTATACACCCTCCCCATATACCTCTAGCCAATGTAGAAAAAACAAACGCACAACAGTACGCACAGTAAAACTCAGTATAAGAGAAGTCCGAGTCCGATGTCAGAATAGGAAACAAAAGAAAATAAACAAAATGACAATAATACATAAATAACAACAGACTACTAGCAGTTACTGTCATGCCAGCTCCACACCTCAGTTAAACTGATTGAAAGATTATGTCTTCATCATATGAATATCAGGCACAATCCCTCCTGTTAGTGGTTTAGTATTATACCGTCATAAAATATATGAGAAGAACATAACCCGTGTCATGCCAATGTGTTTAATTCCGATGCAAAGACCTTATAAGTGAATCAATATTAAGGCCAAAGTATGCAATCTTTAATGACCTGACAACAGTATTGTAACCATATCCCTTCTTAATAAGTCTGTTTAAAGGTTTTGTTAGCTTTTGAGGTGAATGCTGACATTTTTGTGCTTTGTAAAGAATATTACCATAAAAGATTGGATGTGAAATACCCGAACGTATAAGATGTCTGCATGTTGAGTTATATTTACGAATGATGTCATTATACCGAATGTCCATTTTTCTGCAGAATTCAATTAAATATATGGAAAACATGGATTAAATGTTTTGAAACAACAAACTTGGTTTTTACTCATTTCATTAACACTGTCAATTTATAACAAGTGAAATACTGCCATCTCGTCTTCGAGCAAATGTATAGGTTTTAAATATTTAGCAATTTATGCAAACACTTTTTTGTTAGAGCAAGTATATTAAAACATTTTTTACAATAATAAAGAACACTTATTAATAGAGATAATTGAGATAAGTACCATGTACGGCGCTTGACTTACTACAATATGTATCAACCATCTAAGGATGAAAACCAAACCTGTTTGAAACTGTCAATGTATGTGTGTTTCAGGTTTGTCTGATTCTATTTTAAACTGTTAATGTTTGTGTGTTTCAGGTTTGTCTGATTCTATTTTAAACTGTTAATGCTGCTTGTGTGTTTCAGGTTTGTCTGATTCTATTTTAAACTGTTAATGCTGCTTGTGTGTTTCAGGTTTGTCTGAACCTATTTTAAACTGTTAAATGTTTGTGTGTTTCAGGTTTGTCTGAAAGGCGAGCGAACTTAAGGTATGCATAAACATGCTGTGTTTACAATCTTTAGCCGATACTGAATCCAGAACATTTCTATTAGAGTTTACGTCAGGTTTTATTTTATTCATATACCTACAAGGTTTTTCTTTTTTCCTACCTTAAATGGATATATCATCTCAGTTATTTTGACACTGTTTGTTTAAGATCTTTATGTATTATGCTTCATAGCAGTAAAGAAAACTTTTCATGTATTGAGGCGTATTTTTCAAATCCTTAAATACAATATACCTCGTACATCTCTCAAAAGATCATTAATTGTCAAAAGGCGCATCTGATGCAGAACGATATTGTATTGGTAGCGTTTAATTTGATTGCAATATTATAGTAATCAGTTATTTCATTATTTTGTAACATCGTAACATCTATTTCGAATGTTTTTCGATTTTAGGCAAACTATCAAACTGCTAATACTTATTTCTAACAAAATATATAAAAGAAAGGAAAACTTTCATGCAAATCTAATGAGAACAATTTACAGTTAATCTAACAGGCAAGTTTCTGGAAAGTCGACAGACCGGATTGAATGAATAAAAGGAAATTCGGGTAAACATCAATGATACAGTAACCCAACAACACCAAACATCCAAATGACATCTAGCGGTTAACAAGCAATATTTAACAATAAACAAAGCTTAGTTTACTATTTTTTTTATCATATATGTCTATATATATATTATGTTCAGTTATCATGATTCTGATTGTTATTATGACTTTTATTTTTTTGTTTTTCATATCAGAAATGACGATGAACTTGAACATATTGAGGAAGATGAGATGCCATATTGTGAAATAAATCCAGATGATGAATTGCAAAGCAATACAAGTACAAAAAATCATCAAGATGTAAATGATGGATACGAAGATCTCGCCCGTCGATCGCAAAAAGACCCTTATAATCGGCTACATCAAGAAAGTGCTGACAACGGAGGAGGAGACATGACAAATGTTGATACTTGTACAGAGGATTTATCGGCTAGTGGTTACATGAAATCATAGGATGAATCAAACACAGTTTCTTGTCTTGTCAGTTATTGTCAGCATAGTATTTCCCATTGCCACTATTGTCACCACTGTCAGCATTGTCTGCAATGTCTGCATTGTTTGCATTGTCACAATTGTCAGCATTATGACATTGTCATCTTTTTCACCATTGTCACCATTTGTTAGATCATTGTAGATATTGATTTGTTAATTTTTGTGTTGCTTCTTGGTTGATGAATGAGTTATATACGTCAGCAAGTAGTTTGCCAAGCTTTAAACATTGTCAAAATCAAATGTGCGATTTACAAAAAAAGTACTGAAAAAAAAGGAATTGCATTTAATTTTGTTTTCTTTTGGTATGTCTTCTCTTTTATGTATAGTGACATATTTATGCTTATTTTTGTAGTTTTTCTCATTTTTTAGAACACATGAGAAAAACGTACAATAAATATCTTATGGGGTTTGAGTTATCTCGCCTTTGAAATAAATTACATGCATTTAATTATACATTGAAAACATTGATTAGTTTGTCAATTCAACAAAAAATAAAAATAAAATGTAAACAGCTGCTGTCATGGTTTCTCATTTGCGAATAGTCGGTGTGAGTAGTCTACATGAACCCTTTTGCGAAAGTTTTTATCAGCTTGATCGATACATTTTACATGTTACAAACTATTAAGGTTTAGTAAGAGTCAAACTTTATGAATCCTCGTTTGTAATTGAATTTTGTGAGTTGTTAGTGTTATAAAAGTCTTCTAGCTTAACATGTGTACGTAAGAAGGATCAATCATCGAAATTGTCGATTATCTATTCCGTAAACGCCTGTTAAAATCTAGTTTCCTTACGATAAATTTTATGTCTGTAAGACAAAAATGTTTCCTTAATTACTTTTTTTTCTGTTTTAAATTCCTCACAAATTTTATTTTTGGTATTGTAGAAAAACCCGCCCTTCTGTACTATTGATAGAATATGGTCGGAAGTACAGTCGTTGGTATTAAAACGTGGTATGTATGTACGGTATGATTACTAAAATCTTATCAGCTGAACTTGAGTTTTCTTTCAATACATTTGTTAGAGCAAATATATCAGCAAGGTGAACATACTCCGCTAAAAAGATTTTTGGGTGTGTATTCATGTATGTGTTGCTTTGTCCGTCCGTTTGTAGATCCGAAACAAATCTTTCCAGATATTAACTTATATGTTCTTTAATCGACTTAAATCAAACATAAAACGTTTGACAATACGTTTGAATGGGGAAGAAACCTATTAATCTGAGAATTAAAAGGTGAAAGGGTCAGAATTGTTTTTACTTAAAATAGAAGTGCTTTTGAAAATTGATTTCCGAGTGATATCTTAAAGTCCCTATTTTAGATTGAAATGAAACATATGTCGATTGAATATATATTTCGAGAAGGAAGAGAGCGCTATTGATTTATCATATCAATATATATAGAAGGTTAAGGTCACAGTTATAACACTAAGACAACTTTATATGGGATGAAATTCTCCAAATCTTGGTTTCTGGATGAAAAATCTTAACTCTGTTTTTTTATTTGTTTGGCATTGCATAACATACCTGGCGGTTTAAACAGAGTCAGAGAATCCCTGCCCAATTTTTTTTTCTCAAGGGAACCCGAAAGGAGTGTGTGTATATCAAGTCTTTCGAGCTCGAGCAAGAATTTAAATAATATCAACTAGAATATAACTAAAATCTTGATTTTTTTTGGAAATCTCTAGAAATGAAAATTTTAAAACAAAATTCAGCAATGTTACTTGGCAAGTTTTCCCAGGCGTGGAAGGCTAGCACGCGACAGGGAAAATCCTTCCAATTTTCCGTTAAGGAATGCCCAAAAACATGATCCTGTAGATATGCATGTAGGAGTGTTAAACAAAATATTACTGTAAATTCAGAAATTATTGCGAGGTTTTTATTAATGCGAATAATGCGACTACTTGAGTATCGCAATAATAAGAACTCGCATTCTGATATCAAACACATGTATCTGTATGTAGCTTTTCCTAAAATCGCAATAATTAAACTCTCATTGTTGTTAATTCTTCAAAAATCGCAATGATAAATGCATGCAATATTTTCTGAATTTACAGTAATAACAATTTGGAGATTTTAGAATCCGTTGACTTTTTTTTCATTTTGTTCAGCAATACTTTGGGTTATGAAGAAAACATCCGTCACCATGCGGTTCTGTGACTATGGGTTGGCCGTGCCCACTTTCTTACTATTATTCACGTTTAAATAAAAGTACCGAATGTCGTTTACAAGACGCCAATATGGTTTTTATTCTTTAGGAAAATTCGATTTGCTGTTGATGGTCATTATAGTGTCTGTTAAATTCATTCACAACTTTTCATTACTCTGGCCGCTAAAGAACTTGAAATGTTGGATAAAAACATATGTCTATTGTCCAGAACCATACTGTTGACCTTCCATTTTCTTTTTTTTTTGTCGTTTGGTTGTTGTCTCATTGACATATACCACATATTGCATATTCAACTACAAACACCGATCATCATGACTTTATCATTTTTGTATAACTTGTATAAAAAGGAGTTTATGGATATTAGTTATCAAAATTCGAATGCAGTCCGTTTATTAAAAGACTATAACAATAATGCAATACTGTTGGCAAAGCTCATGAAATAATATCCCCCGACCCCAAATAAAGCAAGGGCAATGTCCATCATGTGCTTAGGGAAACCTAAAAAAGGCAAAAAAGGTGCATTATTGAATTATATACAGTCATATTTAAGATTCGGAGAAAGTTTCTTTTTAATTGTGAACAGGGGTTAAGATGATAGCTCCTGATGAAAAAAAATGGTACCCCTAGATAATGCATGGGAAAGACAGTGATGTGCTAAATAAGAAAAGTCCTAATGATAATTTGACCATATCAATACAATCATTTTCCGCTTGCTTCAAAAAGTAGAAGGGGTACGGTTATAATAACATGGACAAGAGTGTGAACCCACAATTACACTAAAGAATTGAATAACATAAACTTTAAACTAGAAAACCTAAACGTAAACACGAACCCTATAGCTACAGGTAACATTTATGCGCTTTTCATGTCTGTCATATTTGTTTTTTTTGTGAATTGTTTTGTTATAAATTAGGTCGTTAGTTTTCTCGATTGAATTGTTTCATATTTTGAATGTCGGGGCCTTTTATAGCCGACTACACGGTATGGGTTTTTCTCATTGTTGAAGGCCGTATGGTTGCCTATAATTGTTTACATCCACTTCATTTGAACTTTGGTGGATAGTTGTCTCATTGGCAATCATACCACATCTCCTTATTTTTATTCTGGAAGAGTAAGCAATAGCTGCCTCTCAGTCGGCACCCATCACGTTGTGGAAGGCTTTAGCAGTCCAACAATAAGTCGTGTTATTTGATTTGTAATCGACCAAGAAATGAGAACGTGATCCTTGTAACTACTGTGTTACCTAATAGTGTATATCATAGTCGAGCAAGTCCCATCATATTTTTTTAATCAAAAATGACACTTTTAAATGTGTACACGAATTTAATGGCTTTATATAAATGTAACTATTCAGTTAAATTCGTCCTGAATTTGCGTGAAATATTTGTCACTGGACATTAAGCAAGGTTTTAAGCAATACTCAATATTCAGTTATGAATAAGATGGACTAGTAAAAAAAAAAACAAATATGTATAGGACAGAATGGGACCGATTATATATTTCATTTTGTTTTTCTTTAAAAATAAACAAACCTGCATTTTATGTAAAATCATCTTTCGAAAATGAAACAAGATTTACATTTAGATGGAAAAGATTAAGTGTCTGTTTGAAATAAAACACTCTTATCAGTTCCTGTTATTTATAAATCAAACCTTGTTATCCTACCCTTAATTGTGTACGTGTTTAGAATGTCAATCTATTTTAAAGGCGTCATAATGCATAGTGTTTTATCAGATTACACCCAGCCATTAAGGAATGTGAAACCATTGTTAAACGTTAAAATATTTGTATTTGTATTTCTCAGTATGTAACTGCGGTGCACTTGGGAGATCTGAATAGTTTAGATGAACAAATCTTCATATATTCCTACGTCAAGGGAATGCAGGTATAATAATTATTCATGTGCATTGTAGTAGATATACTGAAGACAAAATATATCGAGCACGTATATGACGGAAGGTATGTGAAGTATTGGGGCGGTGAACTGGTTCGACATGCAAAAAAGGCAAATATTGATATTGTTTTTCTTGAAAAGTATACCTTCATTTTTTGTTAATCATATCTCGAAAATAAAACGAGACTTTCATTTTGCTGAAAAAGGTAAAGTTTCTGTTAAAACAAAACATTTTTATCAGTTCTTGCTATCTACAGACCACCAGCCGGTTGTACGAACGTGTCATTAGTCTAATGAGTCATTAAGTCTTCATTAGCATTATGCATCATAAAGGCTTAATGAAGACTTAATGACCCATTAGGCTAATACCACGTTCGTACAACCGGCTGCACATCTTGTTTTCCTAATCTTGTGTGTATAAAGTGAAATAAGTTTGCCGTTTCCAGATAACACATTTTAATTATTAAGGAACATGAACATGATGAAACCGTAACTGTTGTAAAATGTTAAAATATTTTGTTTATACATTTGCATTTTAGAAGATATGCTACAGAACAGAAATACATGTATGTATCTGGTATATGACGGACGGTATGTGAAGTATTTGTGAGAAACCTAAAATGTGGACTTCATTTATTCCCTTATACAGTTATACTACGCTTTAAGTAGAATGTTGTATATTTGAGACGTCTACCGACATGCCATGCAGTTTTTACACTAAATTCTTTTGATATGTACTGGTTGATATTTTGTCTTAGATGCGTGATTTTTTCAATAGTTGTCATTGGATTGGAACTACATGTAGCTTTCAGTTACTGCCAGTACTCTCAGATCAGTACTTTGTGTCCTAAGTTTTTTGTTAATTGATTTTACTTTGTATTGATCTGATTAGTTTAGCTTTTTTTTCCTTTTTAAATGATATTTATTATAGGTTGTTCTTATGTTGTGCTTGAACACCACTGTTTTAGGTTTAGGAGGGTTTAACCCCGCAACATTCTGTATGTGCCTGACCCAAATCAGAAGCCTGTAACTCAGTGGTTGTCGTTTGCTGCTGTTTATCATAATTGTCTTTTGTTTGTTGTTTTGTACATAAATCAGGCATTTTTTCCGTTTAAATTGGTTTTACATTTTGTTATGCCCGGGCCTTTTACAGCTTGCTATGCGGTATGGGCTTCGCTCATTGTTGAAGGTAAGGACAGTATGTTTTACTGCAAATAAAATACAAGTAATTTCTTAACAAGGGGCGTCCGTCATTACCCGCAAACATGTTAACTTTGCACATTGTCTCTTACGGAACAAATTCGTTACTTATTTTTCATGGGATGTTATAATGAAATTTTCTAATTTTGGTCGGATAATCAATATCAGACATATATGTATGTATGTATATGTTACAGGCATTTTTTTAAATTTAGGCATTTTGTAAAAAGACTCAACTTTCAGGCAATTT